TGGCTTCCCTAGGATAAATAGATAGATCCGGAGATAACAAATAAAATATAAATATAAAATAATTTTAAAATGGTCTTTTTTTTTTAAAATAATTTCCTGCATTTCTTTTTACAATTAAAAGTTGAAATCTAGTCATCACTATGCACTTACACTAATATTTATTTTTTTGTAAATAAAGCCTTATTAGGATTAATTGCTCTGTGCAGGTCAATTGAATATTAACTACCTGGATGGCCAGTAATTCTGTAAACTCTCAAAGTATTTGCAAAAAAATGGGTAAAAAAGCAATACCTTGATCTGCTCGCAGAGCAGTCCAAACTGCTTCATCAACTCCAAGTAGACCTCAAAGCTAGATTCATCTTCGCTAATCTCATCTCTCCAAAGATGTCTGATTAACTCTTCCTCCAGTATACCTTCATTATCAAGTTTATTCCACAGCTTGATCATTGAAGCCAACTGAAAATAATGATAATTTTAAACCTGTTATCACTCTGTGATGTCTGGCAGGGAATGACGTTTGGCAGGGAATTTCTACTTAACTCACCTTATCAATGTCATCAGGTTCCACCACTGTGATGATTTTCCTGAAGATGTCAATCAGCTTCCGTGTGTTTGTTATAACTGTGTCCTTCAGTAGTTTGTTGTTCTCAAAGTACAAAATGATTCCAAGATCATGTAGGTAGTTGAGGGTGTGGATCAGATTCTTCACGGAAATTCCACAGCTAGTGGCGACTTCACAGACCTTAACATTTAAATTCGAAAAGTGTAATATTAATACAAATAAAATGTGGAAGTGTAAATACTGTAGAACACTATTGCTAACCATTAAAAAAAGTAAGAGCATGGGGAATTTCGGATGCATTTTTCTTGGATGAATACTAAATGGAGTGTCTTTAAGAAAGGGACATGGAAGGAGATAGGGTTAAGTATTAAACAATTCTTTCTAATATTTATTAACATTTTAGGCAATGATTACATACCTTAGTATAACTCATTCGTACTGCTGTCCTACCATTCTCCTGCAAAATATGCTGGAATTCAAGCCATTTGAGCGGGATGGTTTTGGGCATTGCTTTCAGAAATCCACCAACATCTTGTTTAAGTGTTGTCAGCATCTCACTTTGCGTTGGAAACTTGTTGTCGATAGCGTACATTTTCCTCACCACGTGACATTCATATGGAGTG